CGGATAATCCCGGCGGTAAACTGGTGAAGACATTGTCTAGCCGTTGTTTCAGCAAGGCGGACATACTCGTCAACTGTATCAGCTCCACCACCGTAAGCCAGTTGACGTATTGCTGCTGTGCATTTTTGGAGCGGAGATAGACTAGGCCGTCCGACTGCATCTTCTGATGGTCGGAAATACTCAACTTCTGTGGAGAGACGATGTACAATACGCATGAACAAATGCTTGTTCATTCGGAAGCGGCGCCGAAATAAATGGTGAGGATATGTTGGAGTTTCACTAAAGTAATCATTCCAAAGTTTAATGTTTCCCTCTTCTCGGTTTCTCTCTATATAAACTCGTGGCTTGCGTTGTTTCGGTTCTTCGATTTGAACATAGTTTTCAAAGAATTCTTCAAAAGGGGTTTCCAAACTATCATCATCGTCATCGTTATGGTAATGGTAGTGTGAGGAAGAAGCCATTGTAATTGGAAAAAGAAATATAGAAAGGGGAATCAAAGTGAGAATACGAATGATGATTGTGATCAAATATAAAAAAGATGTGTCATATTTATATAAAAATGTGAAGTGAGACACTTATTCATTTTGTGTTTGGCAAAACACATCCGTGACTATGGCCCGTGATATTGGTTGTTGTCTTTTGATAATAGTATCTACCCGTGATCACATATTGCTTCTTGTTTCTCTCGTGATATTGGTTGTTGTCTTTTGATAATAATATCGACAACTCCCGTGATCAAATAATAGCTACAACTAAATAATACATTACATTACATTAATAAGTAACATTACATTAATAAGTACTCAAATAAGATTAAAGAGATTCTTAATACATTACATTAATCTTAAAGCCGAGAAATCCAGATTCTTAATACATATCAAAGAACAGAACACCACTTCTTCTTGCTAAAAACTACCCTATGACATTAACATGACCACCAAACCAAGACACACAAATAGGAGAACAATCACAGCAACGAGCCATTCCAAAGTTGGGTACAATCTCTGTTTCTGCTTAAGTAGCTCACCAACTTGCTTCTCAAGGGTTTCGAGTTTCATGTCAGTGTCAAGGCAACTCATATAAGTTAGTGTGTCTACCTTCTCAGCCAACTGAAGAACGTGTCTGTCCCTCGCTGTCATCTCCTCCATCAAAGCCACGTCCCACCATTTCCAGACATGGCACTCACCGTCGTCTACGTTCGCGCATGTGTAATATCTTCTGCCTGGGTTGTTTGAGTTGATGGAGGTTGCAATCAGAGGGCGAGCACCACAATAGCACGTCTGGGGGAATCCAAACTCCACCTCCGGTTGAGGTGGGTACCGCACCGGTTCCTCATAGCCTAGCTCAGCTTGGTCTTGACGTATGAGATCCTCTGTTTCGCTGTATGCAGTGTTAACACTGTTGCCTTCGTAATCCTCCGAGTCCGAAGGCTGCGTGTAGCTGTAGTCAAGACCCATTTCTTAGTTAACCTGTGGACAACACAAGGCGCAATAAAGATCATTAAACATAGAATACTTAATGATCATCAGATACACTTACGGGAAAAGATAGAAAACAAATGGCAACAGCATATATCATCTATGGACAACACAAATGCGCAATAAAGATCACATAATTATATAATCAGATACACTTCCCACTGATACACTTCCCACTCAAAATTATCAGAGACTCAAAGAGAAATCGAGACCCATTTCTTAGTTAACCTCAGAGACTCACAGAGAAATCTATGGACAACACAAATGCGCAATAAATATCATTAAACATAGGATACTTAAACATAGGTTACATTCATATTTAAAACAAAGGTTACATTCATATTAAAGACATAGAACTTAAATAAAGACATAGGACTTAAAGACGTAGCACTTAAAGACATAGAATTGAAAACATTGAACTTAGAGACATAGAACTTTTAAAACATTGAGCTTATTAGAGACGTAGAACTTAAAGAAGTGCAAGTAGCTTGTTCTTGACGACTTCCTCTGCCTCGCTAAGTGGTTCCTTTTTAGCGAGGAGAGTGTCAAGAATTGCAAGCTTTGATAGCTCCAACTTCATCTCCAAATCCACCCTCTTGATTTCCCAAATGGCCTTGTAGTCATCATCACCCTTCCCTTTACCATTAGCTCTTTTTGCTTTTGCAGCCTTAACACCCTCAGGACGGACCTCTTCATCACCAACATTGGACACTGAAGCTTGGGAATCAGTATCACCAGTTTTCCTCTTCGAACCGCTACTATCTTTAGGTGTGTTGAGGCTGAGCCATTTCTGCTCATACCTCAACAAACACCACGCATGTTCAAGCGTGAACTTGTACCGGTGATCATTGTAGAAGTTATTGAGAGCCGTGTTGAGGACATTGTTGTCACTCTGCCCACTAGTTATTTGTCTCTCTGCAGCTCCAAAAGCGGCACAGAACTTATTGGTTTCTCCGTTGATCTTGTGCCATCTCTGTTTAAGGCTGAGTTGCTCCACCTTCTGACCAGTAGCCTTAACGTGAGGGCTTGCTGCGTAATATTGAGTAACGCGTTTCCAGAAGGTCCGCGCGTTTTGCTCATTACCGACAATGGCGTCTTTCGAGGTGTTTAGCCACGCACTTATTAGGACCTCGTCGTCAGCAGGGGTCCACTTCTTTCTCAACTTACGCGCCTCTGGAGTTACTTCAGCTTCAGTTGGAGGGTGAGGTTGCTGTGAACTGAAAGGAGGGTTCTCAGAGGCGTTCAGGTTAAGGCTAGAATGAAAACTTTGGTAAGACAAGTCTTCATGGCTCACGCTTTGTTGTTGACTGTTTAGAAGGTCAATATAGCCAGAGGACTGACTATATTGGTTCATTGGATCCATATCAAAAAAACGAGAAGGAAGATAAGCTGATAAAGGTTCTTGGTAAGGGGATTTTGGAAAGAGGAGTGGTGATGTTTGTTAAAGAATGGTTGGGTAATATAGGTGGAGATTGAAGGTGTAATAAGTTCGACTCTTAATGTCTAACCATAAACTACATATGTCCTTTCAGAACTTATTACTTTGTACGGTTTTAAGAACAACCTAGTTATTAAAAACTAACTTGGTTTCGAACCAAGTACAATTAAGGTAAACATATGAAACCTACCTAAACAGAACATAAAGTTTGAGCATTCACAACACATAGACTAACGAAGCCAAGTAACCATAACTGTACTTGGTTAGAAACCAAGATTGATGATCACGCGGTTTGAGTTTAACAAAGAACTTATTACAAACATAATTATTTATATTGATCACTTAAAACAAAAGATTATGAGTTCCAGTTTTTGTTTGAAAGAAAAAATTGAGTTCAAGTTTAAGATCAGTTAACCAAAAACTTAATATGACATATTTCGATTTATAGTGATCAAATTGCACACAAATTAACACAATTTTGAAAACCATAACAGTTGAAATCATAAACACACACAGGAAAGAGGATTTAGGGATTTTGAAATCCCTAACTTTTAAGTTTCGAAATCGTAAATCCCTAATTTTCAATAACATAAACACAGACATACACCGAACATATCATCCAAATACCATTTTAGATAATCACATCAAACGAATAACTAACGGAGGAGGTTCTACGAGACATCAAAATTTTTTTGGAAAATCACCAAACGGCTGAGGAACACATACCTGAAGGATTGAGTCGGAGAGGGAGAAGCCGGAGAAGGAGTGAGTCGGAGAGGGAGAAGCCGGACAAGGAGTGAGTCAGAGAGGGAGAAGCCGGAGAACGATTGAGGGAGTGAGTCGGATAGGGATTGAGTCGGAGAGGGATTGAGTCGGAGAGGGAGTGAGTCGGATAGGGATTGAGACGGATAGGGATTGAGTCGGAGAGGATCCGAGCCGGAGAAGGATTACGCCGGGACCGGAGCGATGAAATCACGGAGACGTCTTCTCGTCGTCGCCTTTCGAATCTTCTCCAAGGATTGAGAGAAGACAGAACACATTGTTCGTATCGACTCCCTTCGAAAACAAATGGCCGTCCGATGAAAAAATCAACCAACGGTCCAGATCGCGTGACGTCGGCTGGGGACGAGCCCAACTGTCTCTTAGTTAAGGTCCGTTTGATCCGTCTCTTTCTATTTTTGATTTATTTTTCGACCCAAAAACCTAAGAAATGGGCTTAAAAGACGCCCGATAATGGTGCTCTAATAACCGTCATATCTAACATGCCTAATATACATCATATAGCTAGCCCAATACAACAATACTGATAGGTCTAGCCCAATACTTGAGGTTTTGGTTTGGTTATGTAGCATAAGATTTTGTAGCTTGCTATGGCGAGACATGACTGAAAGCTGTTCTATTCTTAAATCTGATCAGGTTGGAGCTTATAGAGCAGCTACAAGTAAACCAAACATCAAAACATGTTTTCAGTTTTAGGTATTCTATCTTGCAATAAGAACTCAGGGATATCTAGTCAGTTGCTTGAGTAAGACTGAAAGAGTGTTGTAGATATGTATCACATGATTTGATTGAATAAAATTTTAAGTTCATTCCAAAAAATATATATATATATATATATATATATTGTAAACGATGCATCACATAATTTGATTGAATAAAATTTTACATTCATTCCAAAAGAAAAAAAAAAGAATGTTGTAGACAATATTATGATCTCCATAATTTATTGGCATGAACTTAGTTTAATCTTGGCTTTTGCCTTTAACTTTTGGTTTCTTTCACAGTTCAAACTTTCATTGATTCTCCTGCAAAAAAATTATCACCTTAGATCCTAGTGTATAGCTTTTCGCGGCCCTAATAAACTGCAAGACATGTAGAGTCCACTGTAATGGACCTGTCCCGGTGGTGGCTCGTCGTCTTTCTTTGGATTATGGTAGTCTTAAGAAAAAGATAGTAGAACAAACTAAAGGTGGTTCCAATTAAAGCATGAATCAGAACGAGATTACGACGATCCCAATGTATCTTCATAGTTCCTCAAGTTTACTTGGGACGCAAGAGAGAAGAAATTAGGTCAAAGAAGTTACCTGAAATAGACTGATGTCTTATTAATTCTAAAGCAGGCCACGCCAGGTGAGCAGCTTGTACTAATAAAAGCTAGATACGAGAAGAACACACACATCACGAATGAACATAACTAACGCAATTTTACACTGAAGAAACGTTTTCTTACAGAAGAAACAAAGACACAGAGAAAGTTCATTACATAACACCAAAACTCCTCCTTTATTGCAACTCCTTCCACATCAGAAAGATCAAGGGAAATTTTCTTACATTAAAAAAACCTTGTCTTAAGCATCTACGGTTTCAGCTGAATCAGCAGCAGCTAAGACAAGCTCAGGGCTTAGTTCCCCGACATAGGATCCATCTATAACATTAGGCTGTCCCAAAGCTTTCAGAGCAAGGTGTGCCGCCTTCTGTCCCGATATCATCATAGCTCCGAATGTTGGTCCCTGCCATCACCAATTCATTCACTCAGAAAAAAATTGTGGATACTGTATCATATTTTGATCAAGGAAAAGTAAAAAATAAACTCACCATTCTTGGTGCGCCATCAATCTCAGCAACTTCCATACCGGTCACAATCATACCAGGAACAACCTCCCTGGTCAATCTAACAATCGCATCTTCAGCTGTGTTCATGTCTAGAGCCTTCATTCCAGGAACATGATCGATCAACCCAATGCTCTTCAACCTCTTCACACCGGTGGCTCCAAAAGGACCATCGTGACCACACGAGCTGACAACAATCTTGGCCTCCATGACGTTAGGGTCCATGCAAGACTGTGTGTCGTGGTTCATCGACACAAGTGCCCAGTTTGTCACCACACCACCGACTCTGTTTCCTTTCACGATCAAATCCTCGGCTGCGACTGCGTTGAAGAGCTTCACGTTGGGACGAGCCAAGAGCTTGCTCATGATGGTTGATGTGAAGAGAGCAGCGTGCTTGATCACGACGTAGTTGTCTTGCTCATCGTAGGGTACACCAATCTCGTCAAGGAACAAGTGAGCTGGTTTGCGCACAATCTACCAATATTCGCGAATATTCAACAATCTTAGTCAAATAATATTGATCATGCATAATTTGCAAGCCATGAGCACAGTTTCAAATCCAAGAAACAGAAAGTTAAACCTTTTTCAAAGAAAAGGAAAAAAAAAGTTAAACCTAGTTCTGATTTGACATTAACGTCCTCAATTTCCTCCAAAGTGTGATTTAATAGTCACTGTGATTCAGAATTAGATCTAGTTCATTCATGCAAACAGTGACTGATCTAGAAATAATTTTTGTTCAGAGCAAAACTATAAAACACTATTAATACATTTATAAATTTAAATTTTCCAACAGAGGCATTACTAAAATCCTGTACAAAACTTTAAAAAAATCCTGTACAAAATAATACCATCTAAATATACTATGAACCACTCACTACCTAGCTTGGCCACTGCATGCCAATAATATAATCCTCAAATATGAAATAACTTCGTTTTGTAAATAGCAGAAGGTTTAGGACCGAAGCACATAGACCCATGCCCGAAACAACATATAATATTAGTTACGTCCTAATCCATCATGTGACTCTAAGTTTTGCTTAGGGTGATTTTCCAGTTGAACTAAAGATACTTGCATGGTTATATAAGTAGGTCTCAACAGTATTAGAGATGTGAGATAAACGTTATACCATGGCGGAGAAAAGCTGACCACCGAGCCACGCGCCACCACCAGGACTAACAGACTGTTCGATGATTGCGACCTGAACGTTAGGGTTCTTACTGATCTCATAAGCGCATGATAAACCAGCGGAACCAGCACCAACGACGACGACATCGGTCTCGGCGTAAGTGATCATATCAGTCATGTACCTCCTCGTCATCTCGCGAGACACGATCGATTCCTTGATAGGAGCGAACGTGAAGGCGTTCAGATCGTAACCAGCGGTGGCGCGAACGGAGACGGCAGAAGCTGAACGTGGTTTGAGGCCAACGGAGACAGGAGCGGCGGAGATGGCTGAGCCATGGAAAGAGGAGTCGAAAAGCCTCTGAGGCTTGGTGGAAGAGATGGAGAGAGTAGAAGTCATGGCCGCCATTAGAGAGAGAGGACAATCGACTAGGTTCGCAGGGATGATGATGAGTGAAACTGTGGTGGTTATTTAAATTAGAAGATGAAAATATCTGGAGAGTGATGGCCACGTCAGAGATAAGGAATGAAGGGTTGATGAGGTTTTGTAATTAAATTCAGTTTGTGGTAGTAGAAATATCTCTAAGGTCTTGTCTGGATGTATCTCTGTAACCATTTGTTATGAGTGTGTGGTGACACGAACACTAGAAAGTGAAATATCTTTGTACTAATAGAGATGGATTTTGACAGTTCATTCTTTTGATGTCCAAATAGAAAAAAATAATTATTTCTTTATTATATCAATATATATTCTTGTATCTATACTATTAAAAGTAAACGCAATCGTGAAAAACCACTGATGGAAGTTGTGTGCTATAGAGATGGATTTTGACAGTTCATTCTTTTGATGTCCAAATAGAAAAAAATAATTATTTCTTTATTATATCAATATATATTCTTGTATCTATACTATATAAAAGTTGAGGCTATAAGCCATTGAGAGCGTCCACGTAGGATTTAAGTCCTCCAATCGTAAAATGACACATCATTATTTTAGTTTATTATTTTTAGAAAATGTCATTGTTTCCAAATTATATTAAAAACGAAATTAATATTCCATATATAATTTAACTAACAAAATAAATATTAACATTTTACAA